ATGTAATATTAGAATTTTCTGAGACAATGAATTTTGGTTTTTCTTTTTTTCCCCAGTAATAGGTTTTTATTTAATAAATTTTTTGGACCAAAAATCGCAATATATCGCAATATACAGCCTTGCTTAAAGTATCGCAATATATCGGATGTATCGTATCATGACCCCTCTGTCATGATATGTATTGTATCACCAAATTCTTACCAATACACAGCCCTACAAAAGAGGGTGTGGATCAGAACTCAGCTGTGTTAACTTGAAGTGCGATGCATTAGAAGTGTCTGTCTTGTATCAATTTGAAAAACATGATGAAATAACTCAGACTCTCTTTTTTTGGGAACGAGTTTTTAAACCAAAATACAAAGTATTTGAGCCTCATCATCAGTCTTCCCTCTGTAATAAATCCATTTGTTTTTTGGTTATTTCCATAACCATCTGGATGGATGGACCAGAAATCATCACTTCATCACCTTACTGAGCAGCAGCAACAGCTTACCTTTCACATGTTGACAGTTTCACCCTCCATCCGCCTCAGTACATTCAGAAATCACACTGAGGTGGCCATCAGGGATCTAAATCCCAGCCTGGGCTGTCTTGTGAGATAGTCGTAATATGTGTATTATCACACAAACACTGCTGTTGACTCGCACAGCATAAATCTGTACGATGACATCGGTGTGGTACATTTTCACACTTTTCTAAAGGACAGGRAACTGAAAAAGTCTTTGGATCAATTTCTTGTTAAATTACGGCTGAACTGGAGGTCTGCAGATCATAAACAGACCTTGCTGTGAAAACACAATGTAAATGTAGTAGAACTATTCCACCAATGTGTGATTAATTGAATCTACACCCATTCTCTTTATCTCATTAGTTCTTGTTAAATCTGTCATGTTTAGTCAAAACAGTCAGGGTTCAACACATTTTAGTCAAAAGGAAAACACATACACATCCAACAACACTTACTTCCTGTCCAGACAAGTAGTATGCAGCCAACARTCCTCCGATGAACCGAATGTTGACCTCAAACACAGACACCTCGGAATTCTGGTTAAAGAAGAGAGATAAACAAAATTTAATTTGATTATCCTTACAATCTATTAGGAAYGGTGCTGTTCATTGTTTAATTGGTACAAATTGTGTAATTTCAAGTTCTGGGCAAAAGCTTAAATTAAAATTTTAAATTAGACCTTTCTAAATCAAATGGCCACAGGCTGGAGTGATTTCCATTGATGCTTAGTAGAGCAAAACAACAATTTAACAGTTTCTACAAATACCAAAAGAAAATAAAAACATCTGTTCTGTAAGTTTTGTTGGTTTGACAGCAACAAGATAATTTGTTACGACCTGAACCTGAAAACACAGAGGAGGGAAGCCTCACATCAGCAGCGGAAATGAGCCAGGTGCTATAACTGCAGTCTGAGAAATTTCTCTTAAAAAAAAAAAAAAACAGAGAATCTGGAAAAGCTATGCCTGCTGAGGTGAAGTTTTGCCAAAACACACCGGTAGCCTCAGTCAAAGCCTGTCACTCTCTGCTGAAGCAGATCTAACGGCTGCAAATTTTGTGGTCCGAAACAAGTCAGTGAAATTGTTTTCAACGTCACAATAAAAATATGAAGGCAGTTACTTCAGCTCTGCTCATTTCTCTGCGCTTGTGAATTTTCTTGAAGACATAAGGCAGACAGGTTATTTAATCTGAAACAAGACAAAGCTGTGTGAGCCTCTGGGAACCTTCAGCTTTGACATCTTTAAGGTGCAGTCTGAATGACACCTGATTGAGACATCCCTACAGAGGAGGAGGAAGAGGMGGAAAACAGGTTTATTCTGTGGCTTTGATGCTGTATACTTGATAATACATAAACATAAATATCATGACTGCAGCTTAAGTATCAATCAGTTTCAATTTTCCGTTAGCTGATGTGCTGTCAGAGGGTTTTTTTTTTTTTTTTTTTGCTTATATGGAGCAGATGTCTACACATCCTCCATCTATTCTAACTCTAAATAACTTTAACTAACTTTAAATGAGCAGAGGTTTGTCCTTTCCATTTACATTGAGAAAAGCCTTTACAATAAATCTATGCAGTGTGGTTTTTTGTGACAACCTGTCCCATTTTTCAACCWAATACTTTTCCTATCTACAGAGAACAAAAGCATGACGTTTCTTCTCAGAGCAGTGTGGTTCATGTCTGGTTATCTGTCCTTCCTTTGAACATCACATCTCCATCAGATGATCTGTGAGCTGTTTGAAGCAAGTTTCATTCTGGCCTCTTGGCTGGGAAAAAGAAAAAAAAAACGAAAAAAAGCAGATTTGGATCTCTTCCTGAAACAAAGATAACTTCTTTGATTTCCTGGACGCATGCACCTTTTTCTGACTTTCATGTCAGGAAATCAGCCTGAGAATTGCAGCACCTACAGCAGACCTTCTGTTAAAATAACTTTAGGGTGAGAATGTCTCGGTGGGGTTTGCAGTGGAGTCTTGCATCAGACATTTTGCACGCATTTCTATTCCGAGTAGATTGTTTCGATTACAGTGTAAGGGAAATGTTTTGCAGAATGGCTCTCAGCTTCACAAACCTCATCTTTCATTTTTAGTGAGACAAGCAGAAATCTGAAATGAACAAATACAGTGATAGACTGATTTGTAGTCTTGTGCTCGCTAACACAGTYTCAAGGTGCAACAAGGAGTTACGTTGGTTTTGCCTGTTTCATGTAGAAGCCTGGGGAAAAAGATTACATTGAGTGACCTTCTTGGAAAGGCCCCCAGTTTGAGAGCTACCGGGGTACATCGAAACTTTTTATTGTGCACTCCACAAATCTGGCCTTTATAGAGAAAAACGTGGCTTTGTTCAGATCAAATTACAACTTCAMTTTTGATCTAAATGCAAAAYGTTATTCTGAACAAACTGCCTCACCACACTGTGAAACATGGTGGTGGCTGCATCAAGCTGTGGGGTTGCTTTTCGTCAGCTCAGACAGGGAGGCAGGTCAGAGTTGATGGGAAGACGGAYGGATAAACATGGGACAACCCATGAAGAAAACCTGTTAGAAGCTAAAAAAAGAGTTGAGACTGGAGCAGAGGTTCAAGTTCCTCCAGGACAATCCAAAACATACAGCCAGAGCTATAATGAAATGTATTAGGTCAAAGTCTATTCATGTCTTAGAGCAGAGGTGTCAAACTCATTTACTGAGGGCCACATGAGTTATGGTGGCCCTCGAAGGGCCAGCTGTAGTTAACTTTGACGTTTCATGTTTAACTTTGACTAAACAGAGTTTTAACATGTCCTCTTTTAAACACTGATAAGAACTAAGTGTACGACTGACTAAATCTAAAATAAACGCAGAAATGTTATTAAAAGTAAAACTAGTAGAGTTTTACTCACTGATGAGTTTCTAGTGAGTAGCTGCCATCTTGAATTCTGAACTCTTCCACTTTCTGACAGGGAATTCTCATGGATGATCAACATGCATTAAGGCAGGTTTAGTTTATGGTTGATGCTGACCTTAAAGCAGCTCATTTTCAGACATTAATACTGAGCTATCCAACTAAATTGCTCAGTTACTTAAAGGAAACAGCTCAGGGGCAGGACAAATATTATCTTTCACATTTTAATTTGTTTTAATCATAAATCTTAAGTTCACCATCGATAAGAAACAATTTTTATATTGAATTAAAAAAACTAAAAATGTTTATTTCTTTATTC